CTAGTAACGATGCTTGTGTTACTAGTACGAGTAGCTTCTTGCGCTTCTTGTTCCTAGTAGCACACCCCCAAAATCTTCGGACACATCTCCAGTGCCAATAGATCTCCTCAAGATTCCCGGCAAACTCGCAGGACTCTCCCTGCAGCACACGGTGGGCCAGTTCTCCGGTCCATCAAAGACACCAAATACACCCAAATTCAGGGTACTTGGGTAGGGCCCAAACAGGAAGGGCAAAATCACCCTGGAAGACTTGACCAAATCTTCAAAATCAACACCATTGTACGTACATGCTGGATTATGGGTGTAGTGTATATTTTAATTACCCATAAATGGGACTCTCAATATATATATATATATCAAATTGATGCAGACTTCGATCAATTTCGGGATCTCCGAATGCTTGCCACTCCCTGTCTGTCGCTTCCTTATTCATTCTGCGCCGACGCGACCACCCCGATCATGCCTTACCACCGCCGTCGCTTCGTCGTGGCGGGGGCTTTGAAGGAGCAGCCCACGGAGGGACCCGCGAGTTGCGGTGAGACTGAGACATAGTGGGAGTATACAAAAGAAATGGTGATACACATGCAAAAGAAACCATCCATTTTTTACATAGTATAAGAAATGGTGTCCAAGATCTTCTGTGTCTTCGTTTTTACATAGTGAGGCCACTCAATCCAAAAGAACACAGAAGCGAACAAAACACTGATCAACAGCGACAACCGTACGTGAGGCGTCCGCGACGACCCGTCGCCGCGGGAAAAAGAACTGCCACTCGGCAGTGCCTGGTGAGAATGAAGCGCCCAGAGTCATCTGGATTCAGATGGACTAAGGCACTTAGCTCCTGCGATATGAGGACCGCTAAGCCAGCTGGGCGCGGCTTGCTGCGCATGGTGAGGTTGGTCTTGGAACCAGAAGAAAACACAAAGAGCTACTCGAGACCAACAGCTGCAAAATGATTGTCTTCCTAGCGCCTCCAATGGGTGTCCTGTCTGGTGACCTCTAAGCAGTGTAGGTTGGAACCAGCCAGGTCACCCCGTATCCGGAAGCAGCTGGTATACAAGGGTCCATTTTTTTCCACCTTTGGGGGGTTGTTGTATCTACTCTCTATCAGAGACTCGGACATGGATAAATTTTTCGCTCTGGAAGCAGTGTACGGTGGTCCAGCCAGGTAACCCCGAACGGAAGCAGCTGGTTTGCATGTTGGATTTCCTGCTTGCTTCTTAATTGGAGTGTTGGGATGTTTGGAGATCCAACTCGCCAGACGACTGGGCCTTGAGTCGCTTGCCCCAGTCGCAACGGTCTGCGATTCTGGGCGGCCCCGTAAATGCGGCCCTTTCAGAAGGACCTTTCAGAAGGGCTTACTTCATCGGATTGGTCACTTCTTGGATTGGTTTCGATATGTTCCAGAAACAAAGCCAGTGTTCTCATTCATGGTGAGTGAGTTATATAAGCAACATGTTTCTGGGAAGGTGCTTGGGAGCGCTTGGTCTTTGCGTAGGGACCACTGTTCCCCACCGTCTCCCTGACACTGCGCTTGTGTGAAGAAACACATGGCGCGGCAATTGGGTGATTGGAGATCCGGCGGATGTGCCAAGCTCCAAGGGTCCAAGACATGATGGCACAACCAGATTCGGAGTGCATGACGGCATCACACCCAACGAGGGAGAGAGTCCTGTCCGCCCTTGGCATGGAACAAAAGGAATCCGCAATATCCAAGTGGTTCCAATGTAAGTTTTAGGGGGGTTGAGTTAACTTTTTCAGTTGACTAGCTTGGAGCCTAGGATGGCAAAAGAAACCCAGTATTCTCATCACCTGTAAAGCCCACCTTGCTAAGAGGGGGCAAGTTCAGCCTCTGCTTGGTCGCTCCAGCTGTGTCAAAGCATGTCATCCGCGCGTAGGCATCAGGCGTGCGCACGGCTAAGAAAGTACGCCGTCGACTCTTCATGTCTCATATCTGTATCCTGAAGGCGAAGGGGGAATCCCCAGGGAAAAGGACCAACCAACCAGGACTCCCAACTCGACACGGCTGTAATTAGACTCAAATTCGAAGTGAAGGTGGGGACACTCCATTCACCAGCCAACTCCCATGGATGAGACCCTTCACCAAATGTCACCGATGCCACCAGTGGCGGGAAGAGCGGGGCGGAAACAGCGGCTCCTCTCGCTCCAGCAAAGCGATGTTGCGAGCATCGTTCAGCCTTGTCGTTTGGAGCAAAGCTGGAAACAAAACACACAATGCCTTTGTCAGCCTTGTATACAACTATCACCCAGCATGATGGATGGATGGATGGATGGACGGAGGAACGGATGGGGGGAGGGGCGGATGGATTGTTTGGTTGCTTGACTGATTGACTTCTCGTCAGGGCGGTTGCACTGTAGACATTCCTCTAAAGACAAAACATGTTCTACACCTGTGCCCCCCAAAACATTTACTGCTGCAACTGGTGTCAAAGGTACGTTTGTGAGACTCCAATTGGTTCTGTGCTTAGCGATTTGTGCCACACACATCTTCCACTGAAGAAGCATGCTACTTTCATCTACTTTTCATGAAGTGAATGTATCCTAACAAACTAGTCCACGCTTCAACATGTTTCAATGGTCTTTTGGGCTTGCTTTGACCCACATCCACAGCCAAACCTTCTTCATTCACAGCATCTCTAATCTGCTCCACAATTTTTTCCAGGTTTCCTTGGGGCTCCTTCTCATGGCCGCTCTAGGGAAGCACAGGCCGCTCTGGAATCAGATTCCCCCACTGTCGCACATGGAGAGCACTTCTCTTTAGGGCCCCGAGCACCAGTACAACATCCACAGCTTCAGCGAAGAACCATCCGCCTGGGTACGGAATAAGACAAAGCTCGGGCCCTCAAGACTTGTTGAGGAGTTGTACATGTTCGGTCCATGTTATAGTGCTTCTTTCCTGGGACTAGAAATCTAATACATGCGGCACTCATACAGCTGCAAGTATCCAGTCATGGAGAATGCCCTCTTCTGTTCCATTTGTCAGACCAACTGAAGAAAGAGCAGGCCTCGTATCCTATATCAGTGACCACACAACTACGAAGTCACAACGTGTTCGAGTACAGTACAGTCCAAATATCCGCCAGAGCCGGCTAGTGCGGGTCGCTATGTGAGATCAGGGTATTCTTCAGGTCTCTCTACCGCTGGGAGGTCAATCTGATTGTATGTTTGTGTTTCGACTCGGTTTCGACTCAATCCCGATGGGTAGACTGGTCTGTCTTCCGATCCTTCCAGGGGTCGATCTGGGAGGTCTCCCTATGTTCAACACACACACACACACCGTGTACGTTTGTGTCTACAACAAGGGAACCACTAAGGGAAGCCTTTGATACCATCTAAGCTGCGCAGCCCTGTGGGACCCTGTAGGACCCGATGGGCATGGCATCATGTTGCACTCAGAGTACCGAGTACCGCGCTGCGGAGGGTGTTTGATGCTTTCTCGAGGTCCACGCAACCAAGCGAGGAATAGACCGTATCAGGCGAGGGACCCAAAACCATGGTGGGGTGAACGATTTCCTTTGGTGCATGAATCTTGCCCCCCACCTAGCAAACCATCTCATACAATCTCCTCACTCTTCTGTTGGAACAGGCGGACTGCAAATTGCATCTTACTCCACAACACCCCTAGGCACAAAGCATCTGCAATGAGCATGTGGGAGAGCCTGTCACGAGGTAGGGATGTCCATGTTCTTCCAGAGCACCATTTGTCCATGTCCATCTCTGATAGAGAGTAGATGGAACAAACCCCCCAACGGTGGTTTATATGTAGCTGCTTCCAAGGGGTTACCTGGCTGGACAACCCTACACTGCTTACAGGTCACCATTGGACACCCATTGGAAGCGCTAGGTATACGATTTTATAAAACATTTCGGGGGTTGTGACATCGAACCTCTGAAATCGCTGTACAAACAACTTTCACCAAAACCTTCTCAGCCCACCCAAGAGCACCTGAAGTGATGGAAGTTGCTGCTCCCATGGCTGCAACACATCATCCAAACTACAAGTAGCTGGACGATGAAAGCGGGTGAGAAATTCTGGAAAAAAAACAGGCAGGAGATTGGCTGTCTTTACTGTTCCAAATTGCATGAGGCTAGTTAGTCGGCCTACTGGCACTTGAAAACGTCCGATTTCACAGGTTACGGAGGATGTGACAGTGAACGCATACATGCTGCAACTGAATGATCAAGTTGCTTGGCTACAAAAGCGAACCACATTCAAAGCCCGAAACGATGTTGGTGCTGCCTGACCCAAATCCTGGTGAGACACATCCAGGTCAAAAGTCTGGGAACCACGTTGGATACGCGGGAGCTGGATGGGTTTTGGACAATCCAAAAAGACCGGTGCTTTGAAGATTGTAGGAGCATGTATAGTATTAGCCGTTTTGGCCGACTCCCATCAACTACTGCCGAGTATTTGACTTCCCAAGCGCTTGGTCGGTATGTCAAACTCCAGCGATTGAAACTTTGTGAGGACCAGTAGTCAGTGCCCAAAAGAGGCCCACCCTAGTGCCCAACACTAAGGTTTGCTTCCAACTATTGAATTTTGCATATAAGTATGAAAGCAATGTAAGTAATCAATATTATACAAATCATACAACATAAAATCGATAGATTATTGTTCTTGAAGCAATGGTCCCTGCAATGATACAGAGATGTAATTTTGCATTCTTTGTGAACACATTCTTATTGGCACAGCACAATACAGCATCTCTTTTGCGTCACCGAATTCACAGTCACATTTGCCGTTGGATGCTTAGCATGCGGCATGAAACAAAGAAAGCCGCCCTCGCATTGGTGGACCAAGGATCTGAGAGCGAATAAAACAAGATAACCTCGCTCGGCCAAATCAATTCTGCGCAATGAGGCTTTGCTTAGCATCAGTGGAAATCCACAAACCCCTAGTTGGTACAGAAAGTTGAATGGTTTTGGCAATCACAGCAAACTCATCAAGAACATCCTGTTTCAACTGTTTGATTCTCGAATCTCTCTCTCTCTCTCTCACTGCCAAACCTCCGGTGTCCCAACCCTCCGGTTGTTTTGGAAACAACTTCTGACTTGGCCAAGTCAGAGGCCTTCCTCACTCCACATCGGTGAAGCTTCAAGACCTCCTGGGCGGACGAACTGGCTCAGCCCACACAAGCTCCGACTGGGCCCCTGGAGGCTCCTGCGACTTTGCGCGATGACGCGACGAGACGTCCCTGCTCGACTCGGACTTGGGGAGAATTGGCTGGGAACAGCCAGGGAGGTGCACACTGGCTTGGGGTGAGAGACCCAAAAAAAATTAACGCATCAATAAAAAAATATCCCACACGCATCAAAAAAATATTTAATGAAGCAAAAAAAATATTCCAAATAGCAGTAGCAGTAAGAGTAGCAACCGGACTAATAGCAGCAGTATCGTAGTGGTAGTCGTAGTGCTTCGTGGCAGGTGCAGTACTTTGTGGACCTTGCAATGCACATTTCGTGGCAGGTGCAGGACTTTGTGGATGTTGAAGTGCAGAATTGGTGGCCAGTGGTAGGCGCAGGACTTTATGGGCCTTGGAGTGCAGATTTCGTGGCAGGCGCAGGACCTTTTTGTGGACCTTGAAGTGCAGATTTCGTGGCAGGTGCAGGACTTTGTGGGCCTTGGAGTGCAGATTTGGTGGCAGGACCAGCGGACCAGAGGACCAGAGGACCAGGGGACCAGTGGACCAGGGGACCAGCGGACCAGATGACCGGCCACCCACACGACTGCGAATTCCAAGGGATTTCATCGCAAAACGAATATGTTTTTTTTGATTCAGTAAATATTTGTTTTTTGATTCGGTATTTTTTGTTTTCTTTTTGATCCGATAAATTAATATTGTTTTTTGATACCTATGCCGCATGCCACTGGCTTGGATGCTGGGATGCTGAAGTAAAGGCGTTGCATCTCAAGAAGTTCAAGACTATACGAGCCAATCTGGATGTAGACTCCTGATTCGTACAATATGCCACCCCTTGTGAAGAGCTTTTCCAAGCCGAATGGGTGTCTAGGCCCGTACCCATTTGTGCCAGATCTCTGAGAACCAACCTGTCACTGCAGCTCCCCACTCGTCTCAACTGGACGCATCGACGAATTCGACGTACTCCAATGAAGATCTGGGTGCGAACAGCGGAAACCAACTCATTTCCCTAAAGGGGATTCACATGGATTCACCCAGACCGGGGAAAAAGAACACGTCACCAGCAAGAGAATCAAAAAATCACGGAGAGTCCTTCCAGTCGTTGAGTCGTTCCATTTGGGAGATGGTTGCAGGTGCGCCAAGGGCGGTTCCAGATCCTCCGCCACCAGCTGTTCCATCAGTTGTGGTTGTCCAGGACGGCTGGACACCCAGAACTGCGCAACGCACGTCGCAGTAAGGGAGTGCTTCGGCCTCGGCGGGAGAACCGCACGACCACTGACCACTGCGATTCTAGATCCATCTGGTGTAGAGCATAAGGCAACCCCCAGGCTAGTCCAGAATAGCTATAAAACGCTACAAAGCTAGATCAGGGCCCGGGATGAGCCAACATCAGCTAAGACTCTGGACAGTCCCATCATCTACAGCTTTGGCTTAGATACATCAGCTTCTGCCCTCCAGCAAGTGCTCCTCCATCGGCACGGTCATGGTTGACGGCCGCACCGGCTGACGGCACATGGGGCAGCGCGCCACCACTGAGAGCCACTGGAGGATGCAGTGATGATGATAAAGCTGGGAACAACAAGGCAACCTTAGAGAAACTTGGTGAGATGTTCTGGTGAGTGTTTATGTCCCCAGCGGGTCCCATGCAGCTACTTAACAAAAAGTATTTTGTTTTATTTTGGGTCCTTTGGGTCTATGGTTTTAGTCGAACTGTAACCACTGGTTACCAGCTTTTTGGTGGGAACTGGATCCGGGTGTTCTTTTCTGACCTAGAAGTGGTTGAAAAAACAACCGTGGTGCTGTCCTCCACGGTTTTCAATCCGAGGGAAGAAGAAACGAGTTTTGCAACGTTTTGCAAAATCAGCTTGAGCAACTGCAAGGACGGTGAGCTGGGAGCAATCTCTTGAAGACACACGCAGCATTCATTGTGGCCCTCTCCTCCAGGGCCACAAGGAGCTGGATGAGAAAGCAGCCGCTGCAAATCAGCTTCCGGCATACCCAATCCCGCTCGAGGCGCAAATTGCCGCACATGTCGTTCTCTGCGCAGCAGCCGACTCAAGGCGAGCGCTTGATAAAGGAGCCCAGCACACACGGCCACGAGACTGAGAACGAGGAATCCGCAAAGGACTTCTTGAGCCAGGAGGTATCCAGAAAAATCCTCGGTCGACTCCGACCCGGGCTCCATCGTCGACTCCATGGGGCGCCATCCGAAAACGTCGGCCGGTGCGGGTGTGGAGCCGCTCCACGAAAGGCTGCGAGCAATTCACACATGGCAGTGCTTGGTTTGGCGACAGCCACAGTGAATTTCAGCATCTGTGATTGATTGAACAAGACTTGGACACCTATGGACACCTCTCTGTTTCCGAAGATGGCTTTGGATTTTGAGAGGGTGCATCCATCCTCTACATGAGTTCCATGCATGAAAACTCCAAATGATGGCGGAAACTGGCCACAAGCGGAGACCCTCCCAACGTGATGTTGTGCAAAAATCAGCCCAAACCATTCAGATCTACAGAACACAACAAAATGAACGGTCAATCCTGGACATCCTTCAGCTGTTTTCGTCGACCGCAGAAAGCACTTGACCTCCTTGTCCAAGAATCTTTGCCTGCCACATTGGTGTGTTTGCAAAAAGTGGTACTGGGCACAGAACTCACGTGCTTGACAGAAAAGCCTATTCATCAACAAAGGTACTGGGCACCCCAAGATGGAGGGTTGTTGGGTCGTAAAGGAATTTTGCTTGGCCACCTGCAACCTGTAGAGTTATGGAAAGACTGCTATGTTGTGGACGTCGCGTTTTTTTCCACCCAAAATCTGCACATGTGGCCCTATGACATCCAGTTGATGGCGACAGAATGTGACTTGTCGAGACGGGTTCATTTGTGTTCAGTTTGAGCTGCAATCTCATGGTAGCTGGCAGCTTGACATCTCGGGATCGATGTTGGCTGGTGAAGAACATCAGCGGCCAAGGTCAGGGGTCCAACAGGTGCTGAATCCAACGACCAGGATCACAACGTTGGGTGCTGAACGGACACCCAACGACTTGCCTTACGGGTTCCATTACTGGTTCCATTCACACCATTCCGAGACCGCTTGAGACCGCGCGCAGGGTGGCCTTTTCTCTTCGGCTGACCGAAGTGGAGCACTGCTCTTTCTGGTTCGCCCCCAGTCGTCCCTGTAAACAGGCCTTGCTTCCATATATATATATATATATATATGTGTGAGGGCAATTGGACTCGACTGAAAAAATACACCCGTTTACGGATTCCTGGAGGCCCCACTCTAGATTCTTCTTGTATTCTGTCAGACTTTGGTTCATCTTGTTTCCCCTGATAGTTTTTCCAGTTGTTCCATGTTGTTCCTTAAATGCGATAGCCTGCGCAGCAAGCCTACACCTCTGCCTCAGAATGATGAAGATCATTATATTCAATGATATATAACAACTTACATAACACTATAATGATATACTGACAGCAAGTGGCTTTCTGCTTCACCTGGTAGAACCCACATCAGCCCACCCCTTCACCCAACCACGGAGCTGCGGCCTCACCGGACCCAGATCGCACGGGAAAGCGTGCGGGTTCCGCCGCCGCCCGGTCCAACTCCCTCGGCCACCGAAAGCGTGAAGGGTGTCACCGGCGGTGTCACCACGGGTGCTTTTAGCGAAAAAATCGTTCACCAGGGGTGGGGAGGTAAACAGTGAAGTACCCCTTTTCCTTGAGCCAACAGAAGCTATCGAAAGCTGGCCATGGATGCCCAGACAGCCACACAAGCTACCAACAGTAAAGACATGTGAACACCAACAAACCAATTGACTAAAAGGTACAAACAACACAAAAGCGAAGGACCGACACCGATACCCAAATTCAACCGCCATCATCAAAGGCGCACAAGAAGCCGAAAGCGACAGAAGCCACTCCTCCAAGCCAAAGCCAGTATAGTATAGAAGCCACATAGAAGCCAAAAAACCGTGGAAGCCATGAACATAGAAAACAATCACCAGCCAAAAAACTAAGCCCAGAGCCAAAAGACCACCACAAACAGCAAAGAAGCACATCTGCCTCCTCTTTACAAATATATCATCAGTATTGATCAGGATTGTAAGGTAGAGGATTAGTTATAGAAGTCATGAACCATGTTTGACAGACACACATATGTTTAAAACATCAGTTACCAAAACAGGTTTTCATACATATGAGCGGCCAAAACATCAGATCTTGCAAACAGTTTTAAACATACCCAAACACTCCATGAAACTGGCATATTTACCTACATTGGGGTGGTACCAGAAGGGTCAATGGGGCGGCATATATGGCAGTCCCATGGAGTGTCTGGGATACATATATATATATACAAAGACAGAGTCTGCCGTTGGTGATCGTCTTGGCACATCCCAAGACTCCACAAAGTGCGGCGCTTTGAAGGCTCGTCTGTGGGCCCAGGAACTGATAAAGACCCAAGTGAAACACGCTAGACATACTGATAGCCTCTAACTTCCGACCAAATAGTAAATTCCAAGACGATCAAGCTGAGCTGCCTACCCGCGCCGAAGACCACTCGCTCTAGTATCGGAAGTGGGTATCGGTGAAGCCACACTCCAGTTCCGAAGATATGAATTATAGTATACAGTACAAATCAGTACAAATCAGTACAGCTTTCTTAGAGATTGCAAAGCACCTGACAAATTGAGCCAAAAACTTTCTTGACAAGAAACTGCCGCCAGAAAAAAACAAATAAACACACATCCCACTGCCAAGATGAACCTAGAAGTATGTCGGCCCTGATCGTTGGCGACCGTCAAGGCACTATATATATGTATATATTGCATGCGCTCCATGCGTTCTCCCGTCCGTTTCATCACCAACACGCCCCACTTCCGAAGGTCGCGGCGTCCCGGAGCGACTGGAGTGACCGGACCGTCTACGAGCGTTGATGATGTCGATCGATGAGCTGCGCCTGGGGGAGGCGAGCCGCATCCGGTTCGATCCGGGCTCACAACGGCCATCCACAAGCGACATGGAAGATGGTTTAGGGATCCGTGTAGCTTCTCAGGAAAGGTGATTGGAGGCACTGTTATGTAGGTTTGGAGGGTCCAGTCGTACCTTCTGAGAAGGTACGACTGGATCCCTAGGGATGGATACAAATGGATATGGATGTGGTTAACGGCTTATATAGTCAGATGACTGGATCTGTCACAAGCTCATGACGAAGCGACTGGAAGCTGGAACGCGGTGGAGCCCTGGACGCACCAATGGAAAGGGTTTGCAGGAACTACAACCCCCTGCGAAGGCGCTAGAGGTCCAAGGGTTACAAGTAGGGTGGAAAGAAAGTTCCGCGCCTGAACGATGCCTGTCTGACCAATCCTTTCAAGCAATCCCGTTCCTTTTTGAAAACACCAGGTCTGACCCGTGAGTTTGCAGAAACACCCAGGTCGAGTCTCATTATGCCATTTGGAACCCAACCAACTAACTCTGAAAGGAAACCCATCAGTTGTGAAACACAAATTAAGTTGTTTCTTGGTTGTTTTGAGCGTAGATTTTTATGTTGCCGGTTGCTTTTTGTATGTCACACATCACATGCCAAAGGGAGGGCCTTCTTGTACTCTGTTCATGATTCAAGAACAGCCACGAGTCCGGAGTCTGAGGACTCCCTGGACCCCTAGACACCGGTAGGTTGACCTCCCCAGAGGTCCCCGGTGACCCACAGCCATATGTTGCCCGTTTGGGCTCCAGTTGTACCTTCTAAGAAGGTGGGACTGGGGTGGGTTCAGAGGGTCCAAATACCTTCTGAGGAGGTACTTGGAGCCCTAGGGTTGGTATGATAGGTGGTCAATGTAGTTCTCTCCACGGTGACAGTTGTCTCAGTCGTCACAAGAAGGACTAAACCACCTCTGACTTCGTTTCTCTTGGTTCCACGCTCTGTCCATGTCGACATCAAGCTCATGGCACAGCTCATCCCTGGCAAGTCGGTCAAGTGAGTAAAAGCGAAAATATCAATGGTGGTTCCAACAAGATCTGTTCCTATGCTGAAGAGATTCACACAACGTCTGAGCAAGGTGGAACTCTCAATACCTACCTTCGAAGCAAAGGGATGTGATGCCACCCAAGCTTGAAATCCCGGTCATTCCTCTTCCGTTGAAAAAGCACCTTCAAACAAGAAAATAGTTTGCAGTTTCTTCTTTGATGTCTACTTATCCCTCCGCCTTCATTCTCCTGTAGTAGCAAAATGAGGTGGAACTCACCAGTGAGCTGGCTTCAGATCTTATATCCTTGAACGTGTGCATATCATATATATATATAGCATGTAAGTAGCGCACATAGGACTGCGCATTGAGTGCAAAAAAATGAAGAGCCCTTTGTGAACAACACGGGATCGTTAGGAGTTTCCTTGCCCAACAAACTCTGGAAGCTTCAAATATAACTCTATTCACATAGTCATTGTTTGATGGGTGTTCTGAGGCTTCAAACTGGTGGTGGATGTCCAAAAAAAACCACTGGAAAATGATCCGGGAGCCTGAGGTAGACTTTCACCACCCCAAGCAAAGGTTGAAATACAAAAGATCTGAAACATGCTGAAATCACCACTATTGCATCGCTGTAAAAAAAATGGTCCTGTCATGCATTCCTGGCAACCGGAGACGCTTCTACCCATGGGAGGTGCCTTCGGGCTGCCCCGAGGAGCTTCTCCAGCAAGTCCAAGGTGATGGCCGTCGGATGCAACTTGTAGGATCTGCGGGGAACCCGGAGGACTGCAGTTCGTGAATCCACGGACTGCAGTTCCACAAAGCATGACCAAAGTTCTTAGTGTCAAACAAAAGCAACTACCAGAACCCACGGGAATTGGGTGGTTCACCGGTGGTGCTTTGGATTAAAGTTGGTTTGGCGTTTGTTTAAGTTGGCTACTTTGGTGTTGGCCTGTTCAATTTTCCCATGCTCTTGTTTGTTTGTTTGGTTGGTTGGTTGTTTGTTTGTTCTCTGTACTTCTCGCTCTTTGCTTGTGCGTTGCACCAAAAACCACCCTCGACTCTCGAGGTACGTCACTACAACGTTTCGACGTCACGTGAGACGTCGCGCGCGTCGGTTGTGCGTCACCGTGTCCGCAGACCGGGCGAACGGAGAACCCTGAGGTTGGAGTGTCCCAGGTTGGAACCTCTAGCATGCTGCACCAGAAACATCATGAAACATCATGAAACATCTCATGAGGCTTCTGAGAATGTTTCCGGGCATCCCGTTTCTGACACAAGAGCAAGCAGGTTCCCGCCCAAACCTGTTGTAAGCTGTTTTTATGTT